CTTATTCAGGACATACAACTATTCTCTTTTTTATCTAAACTCTAGGATTCAGGCAAGCATCGCAACCTTTATCCTTTCTACTCTGTTTAAAGACTAGTCTTACTCTATGGTTTATGGTTTACTACACAATGGTTTACTACATTATGCACTGCTTGATTTTTAGGGTTTTAGGTTGAATTTCAAAAGACATGAGGTTTTTCTTCTTATTCCATTAATATGTATATATATGAGCTGGAATGTTGTTAAAATTAATATGTATATATATGAGCTGGAATGTTGTTAAAATTAATATGTATATATATGAGCTGGAATGTTGTTAAAATTAATCAAAAGCGTTTCTTCTTAAGTCCAAAGTTGATATTTTTCAAAATCCAGAAAATAGTGCTTAAAAAATAATTTTTATTAATTTTCTCATAAAAATCGTAGAAACTCTCATGACCATCTATTATCTTTGTCTTCAAAATGTGATTTAATACATAATAATACCTTTAATGATTTGATGACTTTACGGCTTACGTGCTGCTAGAATTACTATTTTTGGGTCTGTTATATACATTACAGGTTTCAAAGCAAAATAAATTTAATAAAAAACTTTTATTTAAATTAAACACTATAATTATATATATTATATAAATAAGTTAAAAAATTTGAATTTGAGTTTGAAAAAAAGTTTAAATTTTCATAGAGCTGTAGGTGGAAGCAACCTTTTTAAGCTTCAATCCATGGTTTTTGTTAGTCTCTGCGACAGTATAGCGCTTCAATATTTTTGTTAAATTTTTATGTACAGCCTTGGATGTTTGCTCTGAAAAAAGGCCAAGAGCTTTCTTATTGCTATTGACAAAATCTACAAGGTGGTATTTAATAAAATGAAACTCCGACCAAGTGACAATGTTTTGTCGAACACATCTTTACAATATTATTTTAAACATTCAACAGATTCAATAAACTGCAAGATATCTTTACTGTATGAAGGTTTTAGCATCATGCCTAAACAAGTTTTTGCAACTAAAAAATTATAAGTATATGATTTGAATATGTATATATATATATATATATATATATATATATATATATATATATATATATATATATATATATATATATATATATATATATATATATATATATATATATATATATATATATAAAATTGTTACCTGTTCTAAACTTCTGCAGGTTTCAACGCAGGGGTATAACTGAATTGGTGTTATCAGTATCATTTCATTTAGTAATTTGAGAACTTTACCACAATTGGGTCCATCCAATCCGCCACCATTATAACCATGCCACATTACAGTATTTTTGTCCAAAAAGGATTTCAGGCTCTTATTAACTAAAAAAATAACAACAATTTTTGTCACAACATGCTCATACATCTGAAGTTCCGGAGGAGGGATAGTATTAAGATCTTCCTCAATCAAACATGGATTAATAATACTATTGCATATTTGCATAGTCTTATAAGGATATCCTGCATCTTGGTTTCGATTGTAATCTGAACTTAAGAAGGCAAAAGTTCTCAAGTCACCTGATAAGCTTATTGTACCAGTACAGTAACAACAAGCATGTTTTTCACCATGACTCTAAAATAAATTATTTTATTATTCTGAGATTTAATGCAATTATTACTATGTAATATAATTTTTAATTGTAAAAATTATTAAAATTAAGCAAAATCTCTTACTGATATACCAAGAAGGTTATTCTTCTTGACGTTACGTGCCAAAGCCAGAATTATCACCTTGTTCACTCCTGAGTCTTTCTCGTTTCTACTTTGTTCCTTATATCTACTTTGTTAAATAAATATTCATTATAATCTGAAAATTAATCACAATTCTAATTTTATTTCTTAATATAAAGTAGGTAAAGTTAATAAACCAAAGTGAACCCTGTCATCCGTCAACTCCAACTCTAACAATGGCTTTTATTGAATTTAATCCAATATAAAGAGCAAATTTTTTGAATAAGTCTTGTGAGATCTTCAATATATACAACATCTTTTAACACTAAGTTTTCAAGTTCATCTTTTTATTCCATTTAAAAAAACAATTTTTTTGTAACTGTAAAATTTATCCAGAGCATGAGACCGCTTCATAACTTTAGCAATTGAATTCTTTTCAACACCTAATTGTGAAATATTATAGTATAAACAATGTGAGATATATTAAATATTGTAGTTTTTTTGGGAAAAATAAAGTAATGTACTAATTGATACTTAAAATATGTTACAAAATATTTAGACACCTAGACGACCAAGATCTTTTCGTAAATCTCTAAGAACATCACGAACAACATTTTCAAGCAGATCATAATTTTTCTTGATGTCAAATATTGTATTAGTAGAGACTACTTTGTTTGTTTGGAGCTTTGGTTTTAGTACTATAGGTAGGAGTCATCCTCCTAAAATTAGAATAAAATAATGCAGAAGTCAGTATAGAAGTCAAAAGATAAGTCAGTATAAATAAATAAGAAAATAAATAAAAATCTACCAGTGGATAATTGTAACGAATTTTCATCCTTAATTAGAAACTTTAAAACAGTTGAGTTTATTTGCTCTGACAACAACAACAACAACAACAACAAAAAGCAATATATTTACCAAGAATATAGATGTTTTACAATAAGCATTTATAAAATACAAATAAAAAAAAATATATGTATAGCCTATATTCTGGATAGTTCACTCTCATATAGCCTAGCTAAATCGAGGAGGAGGAGCGACCATGAGCAAAACAAAAACGAAAGAAATACAAAACATAAAAAAAAAACAACAAACAAACAAACAAGCTAGCTAATACATTCACATAAGGTTGCTATTATTTAACATTCATATTTATATCATATCTTCTATAACTTCTATTGCCATAAATCTTTTATCACCAACGATTCATTTATGACATCTTTTCATCCTTGGAAAGGATAAGATTCTAAGCATTTTAAACAGCTGATGTTCTCATGCATGGGTGCGTAATGCCCTTTTGAACTAGTTGAAAACAATTTTTGCAGAATAAGTTTAATCTTTCAATGCAGAGATTTTTATTTGACTCAATGATATAATCTCTTATGTTAAAAACCTGCGCTTGTCTGATACCATACAATAAATTGGGCAAAAGCATTGAACCTCAGTTGGAGCTACCCTACCTACCTTTATAAGTAAATCTCTTCCACTTTTCCAAACCTCTTTTATCATTTTTACAGGCTTTCCTTGCTATGAACAAGATTGTTTGTATTTTTAGTGAAATGTTTTAGAAAAAATTAATAAACATAATTTTATATAATAACCATTTTGGCATAGAAAGCATTTTTGCAACGGCAACAAAGTCCAGTGGTAAATGCATTTATATCAAAACTGAAGCTTTTGTGTACATAGTCTCGAACTAGTGTCACCAATGATGGCATACTGCGAAGAGAGTAGTTATCTGTTTTGTTACAGCAACAAAAACAAGCTGAATCTCTCGACTCATTATGATTTTTTTTCCTTGAAAGAGCCATTTGATATGTAATATTTATCTACTTTTATTTTTATTAAAAATAAATGTTTGTTAATTAAAAATTATTTTAAAATAGTTTTAACTTTTACAAAATAAAATAAAAAAGTTATAACTTTTTTTAAATAATTCTAAATAAGTCATCAACCGCTTTAAGAGCTTTATTTGTGAAACTATTAAAGGTATTATTATAAATAAAGTTAACCACATTTTGAAAACAAAAAAAATGGAATAATACGTGGCTTTCTATGATTTTTGTAATAAAAGTAAGCTTAAATAATAAAGTTAATATTGTTTTTTAAACGCTAATTTCTGGATTTCAAAGAATATCATTTTTGGACTGAGAAGGAACGCTTTTGATTTTATTTTCAACACATCGTACATATACATATTAATTAAATCAACCTAAAACCCCTAGAATCGAGCAGTGTATGGTTTACTACCCTATGGTTTACTAATTTTTGTGCATCTTTTTAAACATATCAACTCACAAACTTAATATAAATAGCACAAAATTTAATGCATAAAAAGGAAAGTCTAATACTAAAGGTCATTATTATCAGATTACTAAACCTTGTGTTTTATCTTATATAAGTTAAGTTAGGATCTAAAAAGTTTTGGAAAAAAATAATGTTGTTAGCAAAGACAAGTCTAGCATTCCATCAATTATAAATGAATCTAATTTTATTAACCCTTCTAAGTTCAAGACAGATTTGTTTTTTAGAAGAACTATATTTTTTTTGTTTAACTTATTTTTTTAATCTAATGACCATATAAGTTCTTTTTTTGTTTATTATATACCTTTGTAAAAAAAACAACACAGCTAAGAGTTTGGCTTTTTACAAGATCGTGTTTCCATAAACACGATCTTGTAAAAAGCCAAACTCTTAGCTGTGTTGTTTTTTTTACAAAGGTATATAATCAGGTTAATTGTGATTATCTTAAAATGAAATTTTTAAACTGATTTTCAAAATAAACAATTTTTTTTCGGAAAATTTTAATTCTGTTTTTGATATTTATAACCACTATTTAGAAAATGATAAATAATGTTTAATGTATGACATATAGTTATATTATTAATTTATTAACTTAATTAAAACAAACAATTAATTAATTAAATTGCTAATTTAATTAGTCAATGTATAACATATAGTTGCAGTTACGTAAAATGTAGCAAATCTGTTTTAGTAAATAGAGTTGAGGTTTAACAATAACATAAGCTAAATAATTTATGTTATTAAATTCATTTCTAAAATCAATTTTCTTGCCCATAATCTTCTAACCGTTGCAAAGGTTTTTTGTTGGTTACAAAGGTTTTTTGTTGGTTGCAAAGGTTTTTTGTTGGTTGCAAAGGTTTTTTGTTGGTTGCAAAGGTTTTTTGTTGGTTGCAAAGGTTTTTTGTTGGTTGCAAAGGTTTTTTGTTGCTTGTTTTGTTGCTCGTTTATGAAAATCTGAAGTTTTTTCTTCTTTTATCTTATTTGCTTCTTTTACATCAATATATATTTTTTCTAGGGTCTAAATTTTTTCGGACTACTGAAGTTTCAAATCGATAAATATTGTGATTGCGCTGTTGAAAATCCAAGTGACGAAGAAAAAATTAGAAAAGCAAAAGAAAGTTCTGATCGATGTTTGGAATTTCTTAATCTTTATGCTGAATTGTCAATACTTCGACAACTATTAATAGCAGATATGGCAAGTCTTGTTGGTTCAGTTGGATTGAATAGTACAGCTATAAATCTGTTATCGCTTACAGAAAAAGAAAAGATATCAGATAAAGAAATAATACTTTTTTTGTTGGACCCACTTAATAATATGTAAGTAATTCAAATTTTAATTGCAAATTTCAAATGAAAGTTAAATTCTTTTTATTTTGAACAAATTGTTCTTCTTTTTAAATTATTTTTCAACAAATTTTTTCTGTTACGTTATTCGAGTTTTTAATTAAATAATTTGCTTCTGTTTTTAATTGACGCTGAAGCGTGAATTGGTTGACTTAGTGGCGTTGCTTGGGAAAATTTGAGGAAGAGAGGGAGGAGGGAGAGAGAGAAACCTCAATTTTTCCGACTGCTTAACATAGATTTCTCAACTGTTTTTTTATTTTAATAAATTAATTTTTGTTCGATTTACAAAATTTACTAATTATTATACTGTTGTTTATGCTAACCTTCATAAAATTTAAAACTAAACACAACATTAGCGTAGTGAATAATTACATTACAGTCTACATTTACAAAAAACAATAAGATATTCCAACTATAAAATGCATACTTGTAACTAGTGTTTTTTTTTTAGTATCCGTTTAAAAAACTGGATAATAGTTCCCATCAATTTGTGATTAACCGATTATTCGGTTAACCGAAAAATTTTATAAAGCATAAACTGTTTTGCTTTTGAAAAAGAAAAGTTGTGCAGCCAAACGAGAAAGAAAGTTGAATTGAGAACTATTCAATTTTCATTGCATTAGTGGATTACCAGTAAGTGGTACAGCAGCTTCTGCTATGTAAATCTGTATCTCTTGTCTAAAAGTTGTTGGTAGTGAGCTGGCATTTGTTGTTGGCTTGTAAATACGCAAAAATAAATCAACTTTTATATTATTTGTGTGTAAATCATCAACGACTTTGCATTATGAGGCTGCAGAAGCCGATGCAGCAGGGCCCATGACAGGTTGCTGCTGCAAAATGGCGTGCAGTTCTTTTGCATGCGTTACCACATTTTTTATATAAGGTGTTTAATATAAACATTTTAAAATCAATTAATTGTGTTTCGTTCTTTAAAATCAACTTATTAAATAAGTGTTTTTAAAATCTAAAAGGTCATAAACTAAAAAGTTGGTTTTTATTATTCGAATATAGATATTTAATATTCAAACAAAATCTGGTTAACCGCCAATCCAGTTAGCCAAAGAAATCACTACTTGTAACATGATTAATAATACAATTAAAGTTTTAACCTCCACAAAATTCAAAACAAAACACGTTTGTAATGCTGAAACTATTAGTGTTATGAATATTTTCACAGTCTTTAGACAAATAAAAAAATAGGCCTCATATAAAATAAAAACTTGTAACTTGACTAATAATAAACTTCCACTCGCAACAGCTTAACTTCAGTCTTGCATTTTTTGTCTACTGGTTGATTTTAATATGAGATTTTTTTAGTTAAATCCATCTTTTAAACAGATGTTCGGGGTTAATTTCTTTTGAAGATCTTTTTTGCACTTCAGTAGCATGCAACTATCCAACCTCTCATCACTCATTGTTGTTTTCTTTACATCAAACACAAAAAGACTTAAATGATCAAATCATTTAAGTCTTTTTGTGTTTGATGTAAAGAAAACATGCAACTGTTTGAGATATTTAACTCGTATTAAAGTATTAGCATTGCATGAAATGTTCAAGAGCAGTGTTAGTTATGTGGCCTTGACAAGATTTTTAGGGCATATTATGTTCAACTTCCTCTGTTATATAACTTTGTACTCCACTAAATTGTTCAGACATCAAATTGGCGTAGTCATAAGACTTAAAAGCCATCTTTGATGTGTTAAGGCTTTCTTTATGTAAAGAAAATAAAATTGGCTCAACCATCACATTTCCAGTCTTATCAGTGCATTTAACTGATTTCAAAGGCTTTGCCCGAATCTCACCGTTTTCAATGGCCGTTCTCACAACTATACTCATTATGTCCGTGGCATATCGGGAGTAGTGTAGGCCATCACAAAAGAAAATTTAAGCAGTTAATTTTATCAATTATCTGACCCTTCAATTCAATTGTAATTAAACTAATCATTTAATTTTGAGATTACGTATGTAACTATATGGACAAAGAGCTCAATCTTTAATCCGTGCTTTTAATATTTTGTTCTTCTATCATAGCAAGTCTCTTGGATTTATCAATACGGTGATCATTATGCCCCTATTTTATAAGAAACTCTACGTGCTTAATAACAGTTAATGCAACTTTATGTGCTTTAGAGGTAAAGTAAGACTGACGCTTCCTAAGTTTGTCTTTCCCATAGTTTTTCATCTTAGACCAAGATCTTACCCAAATATTTATCCAAACATCTTTAGTTTTTCCCTTCTTTCCAACACTCTCGAGGAAAGGACAGCAGACAGAACAAAATGCGGCATCCTTCTTGGTACTGTATTTTAAATGTTCAAACTCTTTGTACCAATTTTTTAATTAAATTTATTTTAAATTAGTTAATCTCTTATATTGTTATTAATTAAAACTCTTTCCTGTTACTTGGGAAACTAGCAAGTTTTGGTTGACTAAAGTAAATAGAACTTTTGATTGTCCGTAATTGTGGTCATAAACCTGGTTATCATGGTTTATCAATGCTGATGCATCTGATTATAATGTTTTAATCAAAATATTTTGAGCTTTGATAACGAGTTTTTTAAAAAAAATATTTCCCGTTTCCAAAACATTTTTTCACATTTTTACAGAATTTGTTGCATTCACAATTTCAGTTGCAGCGAATTCATTTTCTATTTCTTCTTTTCAATATTCTTTATAAATGTTACTACATTCGTTACGATTATCAACTAAAACACCCAATATTTCCATGAGCGAAGGCCAATTTGTTGTTTCACTGCTTTGGTCATACTCAATTTTTTTATCACATTTTGAATTCATACTCTGGGCTCCCCACTGTTTTTACCATCATCAACGAACCTTTTATGACTTGTTTTATATAAAATTTCTTTTTTTTAATTAAAGAATTTTTAAAACTTAAAAAATCTTTATTATAAAAAAAAGATATTTTACCGATATATATATATATATATATATATATATATATATATATATATATATATATATATATATATATATATATATATATATATATATATATATATATATATTAAATGTTTTATGTTTTTTCAATTCATCTTTAAAACTAAATTCAGTCATGTTTGCTGATGATACAAATCTATTTCTTACTAACAATGATATCAAGAAATTATATGCAGACAAGAATATTGAACTAAATAAAGTAAATAATTGGTTTAGGGCTAACAAACTCTCACATAACACAGAAAAAATAAACTATATATTATTCCACAAAAAATCACAAGAAGAAATCCTTTTAAGTTGCCTGACCTTATATTATAACTTAATCAAAAAACAAGCCAGTAGTAGATTCTTAGAAATTGTTGTTGATGAGAAGTTATCCTGGCTTCCTCAAATAAGATATATTGAATCTAAAATCACTAATACAATTGGTACGATGTATCGAGTTCGCTCATATATCAATAAACAAAGTCTTAAACTAATTTACTTTGGACTAATTCATTGCTTCATCAACTATGCAAACTTACCATGGACAAGTACGCAACCATCAAAACTCAATAAAATTTATAGTCTACAAAAGCATGCGTGCAGAATCATTTACTATAAAAATAAGTGTAAACATTACGTAAGCGTAAACATTACTGCAAAGCGTAAACGTTACTATAAAGGGGCTATCCATTAATTACGTCAACAATTTTTACCTCTCTTCTACCCCCTTGTCAACAACTTGTCAAACTTTCAGTGATCCCTCTATAAAATTACGTCAACATTCGATAACACCCTCTCCCCACCCACCACCAAAAAAAAAAAGTGTTATAAATTGACTAGTTTAGAACTGAACCAAAATAGTGTTTCAAAGTAAAATGTTTAGAAAAAAATGTATTTAAATTTTAATTTATGAACATATTTCTAATGAATATAATCATTTAAAATTACAAACGCTTGTACTGAACAAAAAGTGAATTCAAGTAAAAGGTATAGAAAAAAAATTTAACATATAAACATAATTCCAGTTTAAAAATACTAAGAATTACTCTTAAGAAAAAAAAGATTAAAGGGTTCACAAAAATGTTTACACGTTTAAATTACAATCATATTTAAAATTAATAAAATTCTTCTCACTTCAACATTTGACCTAATACAAATTAACAGTGAAAGCCAATTATTTTTAATAGAGTCTAGAATAACAAAAATACCATTTAACAAATTGTATAAACCAGGGGTTGGCAACCTTTTGAAACGGAAGAGCCAAAAGTAACAGTATACAAAGTTTTTCAGTTTTTAAAGAGCTACCAACATTTTTATTTTAATATTATATTTAGGGATGCGAAGTCCCGAAAAGGACTCCGGATTTAAATGTCACAAAAAGATTACTTCTTTCTAGTTTTTGGTATCAGGAGCTCTAATAATATAAAAACGCTTATGTATATTGGTAAAAAAGTTAAGATTTTTAAGTTAGAGGAACAACCTCTTTTTGAACCCGGATTTCTTAGGTATAATGGTGGCTAGGACTCTGGAACTCCAGACTTAAAAACAAAATGTTTTAAGTCATTAAACTTCATGAGTTTTTCATTTTATTTAGCAGATCATAATTCAACCAACATGTTCAGAGCTTTTGGACACCAGAGACCAGTAAAAAATAGAGATATAAAACCAAAGTCTTTTTGGGACTTCGCATTCCTGATTATGCTAATATTTGTGTCAAGATAATAAAATTTCGATGTCAAGATGCAGTTAAAGAGCTTCATCTTGATATCAAAAAAAATCACAAGACGCTTGCGAGCTGCAGGTTGCACCCTTTGTATTAAAGTTTAAACAATGTAATGCAGACAATGTACTTACATGAATCTTTTTTGAATGCACAGCAGACTAAAACAAACAACTTTGAAAAAATAATAATGTTAAGAGTAAACATATTGTGTGTAGTTATTTAGTTCTGGATGTCGGTCTTTTTAAAGCACAAAACAGTTTTTAAAAAGTAGGAATATAAATTATAAGATAGGAATTAAAATACTGAAGG